TGCTCAGAGAGAGGAGTCCTTCCCCTGCTCCCATGGGGTCCCTCCCACGGGAGGCAGTCCTTGATGGCCCTCTCCAGTGTGAGTCCATCCCATGGGCAACAGTTCTTCCCGAACTGCTGTCCCATGGGTCACTCCTCCATGGAGTGCAGTCCTTCATGAATGAGCTGTACCAACGTGGGTCCCCCCACAGGGGCCGCAAGTCCTATCTGGGAAAACCCTGCTCCGGTGTGGGCTTCCGTCTCCATGGGCTGCAGGTCTCCGGCAGGGCCCTGCTCCATCCTGGGCCTCCTTCATGCATCCACCTGCTCCAGGACGGGCTCCTCCATGGACTGCAGGTGGGTCTCTCTACTCCAGTGGTCCTCCATGGGCTGCAGGGGGACAGCCTGCTTCACCATTGTCTGCAGGGCCACAGGGGCCTCAGCTCTGCCACCTGGAGCACCTCCTCCCCCTCCTTCTGCACTGACCTTGATGTCTACGTTGTTATTCCCATATTCTCACTCTGCTCTTCCCTGGCTGGAATTTCTTCTACGCAGCAATCTTCTGTTCTTAAATATGTTATCACAGAGGCATTCCTATTACTTCTAATTGGCTCGGCCCAATCCTGGAGCCAGCTGGCATTGGCTCCATGGGACAGGGGAATCTTCTAGCAGCTTCTAACAGAAGCCACCCCTGTAGCCCCCCCTGCTACCAAAACCCAGCTACAGAAACCCACTACATTCTACTCCTCACCTCTGTGAATCACATATTTAAGAATTTTAAATTCCACATTCATCACACAACCTTCCCTTACATAAACAAAAGAAATAACAACCTACCAAAACAGAATATAACAAAAATTCCCCCCAAAAATCAAAATAACATCACCATAACACCAAACTTAAGTGAACAATTTACACAAAATCCACCCCTTGTACCTTTACCACAATTACAGCAAAAATTCCCCACGATCATTTCATTCTCTTAACATTATTCAATACTTGTTTTGCTCGTTACCTCTCCCAATTACTATCCTTATCTCAAAATCCTTGTGACTTCCCCGTACGGGCCACCAAAAAGCCTGTAGGTATTATGGTCCAAGTCCTTGTCTCAGCCAGAGTGTCCTCCATTACGGTTTGGGTCCCTGCCTCCTCTACAGTCTTCTGAGAGTATTGAACTGTGGCTCGATAAGCACAGGCCAGACCCCAGTACAGGGCAAGAAGCTGCTGGTTTTGATTGGGGTAGGCAAGGCACCCTTCCATGAGGTGATGTGTCAGTTTGCTAGGGTTGAATACCTGTTCAGGTGTGAAGTACCAGGTAATGGGAGGTGTCAAACACCCTAGGAATACGTCCACACTCCCTGCCACCCAGGAACTGGGCCCCTCAGGGCACATCTCAATATATTATCACCTAAAGTTTGTTTTCTCCTACACCAAGATAACACCACATTCCACAAACTCCATAATGTTCTGACAGTATTGGTTAGTGGCAGTAACATTACTAAACTGCTCACATAAGGATTAGCAAGGAGCATGGGTGACTTCATTATATATTCATTATATATATTCATATATATATATTCATATATATATTCATTATATATTTCATTTATATCAAAGTCAGGAAGGGGGGGAAGGTTGTATTCCTCCTTCAGTCTCAAATAGTTCCCCAGAAGACAACTCCCCCAACACAGAAAGGCCATTAGTACAAAAGCAGGGCACAGAGCCGTGGTTTATATTAATATGTTCCCGAAACTAGCAAAGTAAAGGTATAAGCAATGCAATGCAATGCAATGTGTATATATATATGTATATAACTACCTTTCCCATGCCCCATGATTGGGCACCAAAAAGGACTGTGGTGGGTTCACCTTGGCTGAATGCCAGGTGCCCACCCAGCCGCTCTATCCCTCCCCTTCCCAGCCGGACAGGGGAGAGAGTAAGGTGGGAAAAGAAAACAACACAAATTGTGGGTTGCGATAAAGCAGTTTATATTTATGCAAAAAAGAAAGCAAAAGCAGCGTGTACGCGCACAAAGCAGAAGCCAGCAGTTAATCTCTACTTCCCATAAGCAGCGATGGTCGACCACTTCTCCGAGAAGCAGGGCTCCAGCACACGTAACGGTTGTCAGCAGGCAGCCATCAGAGACAATGAGTGCCTCCGGTCCTGCTCCTTGCCTCAGCTTTTATATCTGGGTTGATGTCATATGGTATGGAATATCACCTTGGTCAGTGTGGGTCAGGTGGCCTACTTGTGTCCCCTCCCAGGATCTCGCCCTTGATTGAAGAAGGAATGTTACAGTGCTGTGCTCAGCAGTAGCCAAAACATGGGTGTGTTATCAACACTCCTCTAGCTACCAATGCAGAGCATGGCACTGTGAAGGCTACTATGGGGAAATAAATTCTGGCTCAGCCAGACCCACCACATCTGTCATAAGTCTAATTTACTCTAAATTTGCATTTCACAGTCTAGTTGGTAAAACCCTTCTTAACAGCAATTATTTGGGAAATATGTTAACTTTATGACTTGTTCATGCTCAGAGCTAAATCTACGTATTATAAGATTTTGAACTGACTTAATGTCATACAATATATGCGACAAAAACAAACTGTGGTGGCTTTTGTTTTAAAATCTTATGATCTTGAGATTTCATGATAGAATGATGAAGCAACGGTACTACAATCTATAAGAACAAAATATGTATGTGGAGGAAGTATGTTAACCTTCATGTTTTTTTACAATGGGTACAGAAGGGAGAAGAACTATTTATGATAGTGTGACAAAAAAAGGGAAGAGGAAAAGATTTATACAAACTGTCATATAAAATTTTGTGATTTAAGATTACAATATTTCCTTATGAAGATTAAAGAATGCTGGAGTTTATGATATCAAAGTACTGGCCCAGGAGGGTGAATAGAAAATTCTTACTGTTTTCTAAAATTAGTGGGCTTTGTATCCAAAGGTGGATTAAAAGATTTATTCTGTCATTACTGTACTGTTTGAGAAATTCTGTCAAAATAAATATTGCATTTTGGGAGTCAAAATGTACCCTGTAAATTTCTTACTTGCTGATGATTGCCAGCTAGTTGAGGGAGGTGATTGTCCCGCTCTGCTCTGTGCTGTTGTGGCCTCACCTTGAATATTGAGTGCAGTTTTGGTGACTGCAATATAAGAAACATATTGAGCTATTGGAGAGTGTCCAAAGGAGGGCAACAAGGATGGGGAAGAGTCTCAAGGGGAAGATGTATGAGGAGCGGCTGAGGTCACTTGGTCTGTTCAACCTGGACAAGAGGAGAGTGAGGGGAGACCTCATTGCGGTCTGCAACTTCCTTGTGAGGGGAAGAGGAGGGGCAGGCACTGATCTCTTCTCTGTGGTGACCAGTGACTGGACCTGAGGGAATGGCCTGAAATTGTGTCATGGGAGGTTTAGGTTGGATATTAGAAAAAGGTTCTTCAGCCAGAGAATGGTTGAGTGCTGGAACAGGGTAGTTGTCACAGCACCAGGCCTGACAGAGTTCAAGAAGCATTTGGATGATACTCTGGGGCACCTGGTGTGACTCTTGGGGATGGTCCTGTGTAGGGCTGGGACTTGAACTCAGTGATCCTTGTGGATCTCTTCCAACTCGGCATATTCTGTGATTCTGTGTGGTTGTATGATAATAATAATAGACAGAATGGAATGCAATACATTGGAGACTTCTGAAGAAGAGAAGCAAGAACAGATATTCTACAATTAAATTGAGTGATATTAAAGTCCTTATATAATGATGGTCTTATATAACCAAGGACATATTTGTTTTTAATGGGTAATCTGATTATTAACGTGAAAACTGCGTGTCCAAATCAATAGAAAAATAAATTTTAGCATGTGGAATTTGTCTGTTATATTTGTGTAATCTTTGGCTGTGTTAAGGAGCTTTCTACCTTTCATCTGTGCCAAAAATTTGTAGACATGATCTCCGGTGGCTGCATGGGAATTTGGATCTGGAAATATTGAATTATCATTATTTAGATAGCATAGTCTCAGTCTATGAAACTTAATCTGAATTTATGATGAAATACTTGAGGTTCTATCAAGACATGTTTCTTTCCCCAGGAAATATTATAGTTTCCTAACCTGAGCATTGGTATCAGAGAGACAGGTATCTGGAAACTGTTTCTGCAGCTCTCAGGAGATTCAAAAAGTCAAGCACCATTATGGATACTTTGTGCAAGAGGAATGGATCACTTTGAGCAAACCCCAGATTAGTGCAGTAAAAACTATGCATACAGAGTATGGTATGATTTTCTTTCAAGGAGAGCATATTTTAGTATGCTTTTGAAAGAAAGAAACTTTGATTTGCCTTTCAGCTACAAGCCTATTCTTTCATGTCTCTTAAAGAATAAAAAATAAGGATAAACAATAGTGATACACAGTAATTCATGATCTTTTTTTTTGACTTGTTTTAAGCATACCTCATGAATCTCCTTTTTTGCCAACCTAGTGATAAAATCAATTAATGACAACCTTACTCTAGTTGTCATAATTTGTGTTTGAATTGTGTATTATTTCAACAAAAGCTCGTTATAGAAAAGGAAGAGAAAATCGCATTCATTTCACATGAACTATTGGTTTAGAGGAAATAAAGCTTTGTTTGAAAGCATGTTGGATAATACCCTTTTGGCTAAGGAAAGTGCCCATAAGTAAAAAGAAATCTCAAGACAGAAAAAGCACTTAATTTAGCTTGGAACTAAGCCTTTCAGTTTCGTATTTGTGCTTTATTCACTACAGCATGGCTGCACATGGTTTCTAAAGGGAATGCTGCGATGGGATTAAAACTTTTTTTTCTCATGGTGAAAACATTTTTCTTTCTTACGTAATACAAATGGAGCATGTAGTTTTCAAGTCTCAATTTTTTCTTCAGTCTTCTGCCTCAGTAAAAGAAACTTCAAAAATGGACAGTCGTCTTTTTCTATTTTTTATAGAATGAGATACACACCAAGGATTTCTAAGAAGATTTCCCTTTCTTTTCTTTCAAATTTCAGTCATGGGACACAGAACTGGAGAGATCTGCAGAGTCATGGGCTGAAACCTGTCTATGGGAGCATGGACCAGCAAACCTTCTTCCATCAATTGGACAGAATTTGGGGGCACACTGGGGAAGGTAGTTTAAGATATTGTTTTATGCAATATATGAAGTTTTCTAAATTTAACAAAATTTGCTTATTACTTAAAGGAAAAATGATAGAAGCTACAACTTTTGAATGACCTAATACACTGCTACTGGCTTTCATAGGTACAGACCTCCAACATTTCATGTCCAAGCATGGTATGATGAAGTGAGAGATTTCACATATCCTTATCCTCATGAATGCAATCCATATTGTCCATACAGATGCTCTGGTCCTGTTTGTACACATTACACACAGGTATGTAGGTGTGTTTGTTTTTTATCAGCTGTGGAAAAGAGTGGTTGAGACCTCCAGTTATGTTGCTATATGAGACTTAGAGCATACTAAACTTTCAGTATATGCCATAGCACAAAAGCCCTAAAAGGACTTGTTTAGACTCCATAGTTAAAAGCGCTGGGTATTAGTAACAGAGTAGGGTTGCCATACAAAACTTTAGACTTCATCCTCATAAATATCTCTTCCTTATCAGGACTAAGGAAAAAGCTCACGAATACCAGTGTAGCACTGAGTGTTGCTGCTCACTGCACTTCGCATAATCCAGCCTCTGTGCTGATATGCTGATAGTCCTTTCTGTAATAAGCTGAAGAAACAGCTCATTTTTTAAAAAAAGAAATATTTTCTTAGGTGAGTTCCTCAGATCAAGGAATAGGTTTTAAGATATTACTTTAACTTCAGCACGATTTTAAAATGGCATGAAACTAATTTATTTACTTCTGAAATCTGCGTATCTAGCCTGAATTTTGGCAGAGGGAAGCCAGTCATGTTTTCATGGGAAATATATGATTTTCAGATTATACTACAGTCCACATAAAACTTGTGATACAATATTTGAAAACCTAAAAGTGATTAATTTTTAAACATTTATTTTCTCTTTAGTAGCATAATTTACAATTGTATCTAATTTTGAAACAATTACCTCCATATTCTTATTTACCATTTCTCTAAATATAATTGCGCTTACCATTACATGCAAGATCAATACATATATAGTGTTTTCGTGGTATCCTGCTGGATCTACGGATTTGGCTTACCTTGAATCAATACAATTTCAACACCTGTGATATTTGTCTAATTTGAAGATTCCAGCCTTTGTCACTCTGATTATTTTGAGATCTGCAATGAAAGGTGAATAAGGAGCACAGCCACCTTTGATGGCAATGACGTGAAAGCATATTTGTTTAAAATCCATTACTTGGGTCTATTTGGTGTATTAGGTTTTTTTTTTTAAAGTTTTATCCTTTATCTTACTTCCTTTTACTGCTGAAAAATATCTATTCTCTCAGTCCAACCAATCCAAACCCCTCTGGGTCTTAAGGTTGTACTGAGAACTCTAGGGCACAGGAACATAACTTCTAACTCACAATCATCTATAAATTATAATTCCAAGAACCAGTTCTTCAGATCATGTTTTGTAAATGTTTTGCTACACTTTCAAATATATGCTTAGACCATTTATATATATAAAATGAGAGCTGCATTTTTTGTATCAAGGTAAAGCTTTTCTTTCTATTAAGGGTATAACCAAATGGCCTTTTGGCAGTTGTAATTAGGTCCCTTCAACCCATTTATAACAGAGGGGAATATATCACTTCTGTTATTTGAGTTTTATATGTTGAAGTTTAGAGGTAGTTATGATTTTAAGTTAATCAGCTTTGGTTTCACATGTTTTTCTCTTTCATTTTCCATAGGTTGTTTGGGCTACAAGTAGCAGAATTGGTTGTGCAATTAATTTGTGTCATAACATGAACATCTGGGGACAGATTTGGCCAAAAGCAGTCTATCTTGTATGCAATTATTCTCCTAAGTAAGTAGATTGATACCCAAAAATATCTTGAAGGGGCAAGATACTTTAAATAATCTGAAAGGAGATCAGTCTGGATTTTCTATCTTTTGTACTGTTACTTTGTTCCCAAGGCAGCCTTTGGCTGCCCAAATACTCTCGTGATTTTTCTAGTCCTTCAGTTTTCTGGCCTGTGTTTTAGTATACAGCATCAGAGATCTTTGTTGTAGTGTGATATTTGTATCTCCCCACTGTGACTTAAGGAATGTGTAAGAGGAAGCCCCTGGTTAAGATCAAATTTTATAGGATATTCCATCTAGGAGAGTGGAGTCTGTTCTCATGTAATGGAGGAACTTAGTCTTACAGTGCTATGCCAGTCTGAAAAGATCTTACAGCAATTTACATCAGTTCTTCAGCTTTTTTCTTCATGGACTTTTCAACTACGTCCTATGTATTTGATATAGAATCATAGAATCATTTGGATTGGAAAAGACCTTTAAGGTCACTGACTCCAAGTGTTAACCTAAAATTGCCAAGTTCACCACGAAACGATGTCCCTAAGTGCCACATCTACATGTCTTTTAAATACCTCCAGGGATGTTGACTCCACCACTTCCCTGGGCAGCCTGTTCCAGTCCTTGATAGCCCTTTCAGTGAAGAAATGTTTCCTAATATCCAATATAAACCTCCCCTGGACTAACTTGAGATCATTCCTCTCATCCTATCGCTTGTTACTTGGGAATATCAGAACAAAGTTACAGTCTATGTATCTGCTGGTTTTCATTATTTGTTGATGTACTAAATGCTGTTTAATGTTAATACATTCATTTATTAAGGTATTTTTTGCTATTTTTTTTCTTTTTGTGTGAAGGGGTAATTGGTGGGGTCATGCTCCTTATAAACCTGGTCGCCCTTGTTCTGCATGTCCCCCTAGTTTTGGAGGAGGTTGTAGAGAAAATCTTTGTTACAGAGGTAAGTACTATTTCAGCATTACAACTATAAATGGGAATAGAAATGTAACCTTTCTTTTTTGATTTCTTTCCTCATTATGCCTTAACATAGTGGAATAGTATATATTATGCATGTACCCAAAGACCTGGTAGGGCCCTTCTTTACTATGATGAATGAGATCATGTAGTTATGGTACATAAGGCTGAGCCTCATCAGAGTGGACTGTACTGAACTCCTGCTGGTAAGTGCTGATTCAGGGCTTTTAGTGCACAAGGATGGAGACTGTCACTGTGTGCTATTTATGCCTTTCTGTAATTACAGTGGAAATGTATGTAGTCATTTGTTTATAGGGAAACATTATCTCAGTGGCATAGTCGTGCTATATGAAAAATCAAGAACAAAACTAGAAGACATTAGAAATTAAAATATAGGCTAGGATGATTATTTACTCCTTAAAATTTTTGGAATGCTATTCATATTTTATAGCATTGAAACACAACATATTATGAAGCTGCTACTTCTTTTTGCTTTACTCTGTGTATGAGTAATTTAGCAATTTTTCTTAATAACTTTTGAGATCTCATATGGACTATATGAAAGTGCATAAATGTGCCCAAATACCTTCCTTATACTTCTTGTCTAAGTAAGAAATGTCGATTCAGTTATGAGTATTTCAAAATTATTTTCATTGTGTATGAATAGAAAGGCCTCATTTTCAGGTGAATTTTATTATGAAATAAGCTTCTTTAATTGCATGTCATCTATGAATTTGGTAAAACTCATGTATACCAGAGATCATCTTTGTTTTATTGGTTTTCTGATGGCATAAAGGTACTAAAACAGGAGCATTTTCATACTTAAATTGTGGCGCATGTGCTAGAAAAAAAAATCTTTGCTCAGTATCACAAACGTACTTGAGATGTTTTTATTAATCTTGCGTTCTTCATCTTATGAAATAGTGAGAAGTCTTTCTTGCTTTCATTTGTCCACCATTTTATGAGAGCAAAGTCATTTTACTGAAACACAGTGAGGGATTTACATTCCACACTGATTTTTTTTCTGAGAGATTATTTTTTTTACCGATTTTCTGAAACAGAGGATTCAGAAAGACCTTATTCTCCCCATGAACCAGAAGAGGAAACCAATGAGATTGAACGTCAACGATCCAAAGCCCAGGATGCAACAGCGCAAAGCTGGCCAAGAACGCATTCACCTTCGACCTCCACAGGCACTGATGACAGTGAGAAAAATGAAGTAATAAGCACACAGCAAATGTGTAAGGAATTTATCTGATTTGCAAGTGATCAACAAAATTAAATTGTATAGTATGAAATTCACTGCAGTGAATTTGCTTTTTGCTTGTTTTAGCTCAGATTGTCTCATGTGAAGTAAGGCTAAGAGATCAGTGCAAAGGAACAACTTGCAATAGGTATGGTAAATTTTACAGTTGTCATTTTGAGATTATTCTGAAAGGCTGTATTTGTACGTGAGCTGGAATATTTTCCCTTTTTGTAATCCCAGGATTTAAGACCAAGTTGTATTTTATTCTCTTAGGTATGAATGTCCTGCTGGCTGTTTGGATAGCAAAGCCAAAGTTATTGGAAGTGTACATTATGAAATGGTAAATAAATATTTTTAAATTAGATTTTGTACCAGTAGAGTGTTTAATGAAATGTCTTTTCTGTTGGAATACTAGTTAAAATATGTTAAGAATGCATTTTGAGTATATCAACATTCACCAAAAATAAAAGCTAACACCAAATGTTTAAGATAGCATCAGATGACCTAAATTTGCATCTGCTATTCTGCATGTACTGTCCAAATATACTTCATACTTACACATACACAGAAGTAGAATTTTTATGTACACTTATTTGACTGTAAATATGTGAAGATGCAATTAAGGAGAAGTGCAGCAATTTGTGGATACACTCGGATAAATTGTTTCAGTAAGGTAGGCCTACTTGTGAAACCTTAATGCTAGCTGAAAGTATATCATTTACTCTGTAGATCTGGAAAACAGCATAAGAAATAACAGCTATTGTGAACAAGTATAATGTAAATAAGAACAGTTTATCTCTGAGTAAGGCAAAGTGGTGTTTTATTTGTATGAAATAATACCTACATAGACCATGCCAAACGTCATAGACTCTCTACCAAGTTTTTAATGACACATTGTGATTGAAACCTTATTATTGTCTGACATGAAACTGCTTTTCTTGCTCTGTTTTTCAGCAATCCAGTATTTGTAAAGCTGCCATACATTATGGCATCCTAGACAATGAAGGTGGTTGGGTTGATGTCACTAGGCAAGGGAGGAAAAACTACTTTATCAAGTCTTACAGAAATGGCATTCAGTCAATTGGGTAAGTTTTCTTAAAATATATGGGAAGGTTTTCACTTGTTTATTTGTAGTTCCTACAAGATATATCACAGTAAAATATTTTTCTCATAGTTTTTGTCATAAAGAATATGAAAATGCTGTAAAAATGCATTCTTTTTTTTCAGATGGATTCAGTGGGAGTACAAAATAAATGTGTCGTTGCAATAAATACATTCACAACTGGGCAGAGGGGGGTGCAGTGAGTAAAAACTGATTTGGGACAATGTCTTGAGTTAAATTCTGTATTCTCTAATAAAAATACTTCTAGCTAAAAGAAATCACTGAAATATATTATTTACTGACAATTTCTATTATTTCTTCTTCAGGAAATACCAGTCAGCTAATTCCTTCACTGTCTCTAAAGTAACAGGTTAGTATTAATTTCTTATAAACTCAGTACTACTTTATGATTTTTCTAAATAGCACACATTTATTTGTTCTGTTTTACTTTCTTCAGTTCAGGCTATTACCTGTGAAACAACAGTGGAACAACTGTGTCCATTTCAAAAACCAGCCTCACACTGTCCAAGGTAAAATTAATAAAATTTTATTAGTTTAGAGTGCTGCCAATATTTCTGTCAGTTCCTAATTATCCTAAGTTGCCATTGATCAAAGATGTCAACAGTAGCTGTGAAAATGAAGTCAGAAATGTTTAACTGATATTTAAATCTTTGGTCTCAGTAGAAAGCCAGGTAGGTAAAGATGATCTGCAGGTTTTTTCAATGGGAGAATCTATTTTTCTTTTGCCCATGAAGATCTTGTTGCTAATCTTAGTGACATCGTTAGGCTAAAGACTGCGAATAATTCTTTATTGTCCAGTATTATTTCTATGCACCTTGGGCAAAGTACACTGTATTTCAATTTATTTACCTGTAAAACAGATACGATAGAAGGATGCAATACAGATATTTATTGCAGAACTTACCAATTTGTTTGGGAGTTCTGTAGGAACTGGAAAAAAAAGTTGAAATATATATGGTTAAATTAAGGTGTGGTCTGCAGGTCAGTAAACAGCTTTAAATATTTGTACCATTTCTTTGAAGACTGTGTTTTAACTCTTCGAAAGAAGCTGTGCCGCAATATTTTGATGAACGAATTTGGTAACAGTTCTTAAAACCATAGATGAGTCAAAGGTAAATACACTGTAGCATGATTTACCACAAACTAAGCTGGAGATATCCACAGGATTGCTTTCATAGCAATCCTACAGCCAATACAGGAAGCAAGTACAAAGCCAGAACTGCTAGAAAAATATCCCTTCATGTAGCTCTTGGGTCCATGGACTTGTTTGGTGTTTGGCTATGGCTCCTGGCTCTCTAGCTGGAAGATGTGGAGAACTAAGCTAAGGAGTGGAACACAGGAATGGATGGATACAATCTCATATTTGTATATTTTTCTTTTTTTATTCATTATTAAAAACTAAAACTAGCTTCTTTAAGAGAAAAATAGAGTCTGTCTTAAGGAAAATTCAAAAATAAAAATAAGGTTAAAAATAGTTTAATTCTGATGCATCAACTTAGGAAACTTCACAACAGCAATGATTCATTCAAGATTCTGTGCATGCTCTTAATTCTGAAAATATAGTCTCAGGAATTACAAGCTATGGCATTGATTACACAAGCTTACTTTTCCCTTTTGTACCCTAATCATAAATCATCAGCTCTTCAAGAGCTGTCCTTTGAGATCTTGCTTCCTTCCAACAAAAGTAGCTTTCTTAAGTGCTTTAATTACCCATCTGGTAAGACTCTAGCATGCCTAGGTGATGTGACGTGCCAAATATCCATGGAGCCTGGATAGCATCCTGGAGAAGAACACTTGCCCAGGGCTGCCCCGTGTAGGGGCCAAAGTCTTTAGGGCATGACCCATTTTTTAAATGAAATAGTTCAGAGTAGACATTGAGTTAACTGTCAGTTCTTGCTTGTAGCATATCACAATTAACAAATAAGATGCTTGACACCTGTACTACCGTTAGCTTCCCATATGATTTTCATGTGCATGTTGAAACTTTAGCAGCCATGAATCACTGAGAAAGTTTTCCTCAAAGGTCAAAAAATGCAGTTAATAAAGATGGTCTTTGTTTTGGTAGCCTTCTGATCACCTAGAATCAGGTAGGAATCTCATTACTTTACGAAGTTTTTCATTTTAGTTATGGATGCCGGTGCTCACCTTCATTATAAGTTGCTAGATTGGCTTACATCACCAGGTCATCAGCATCAAAGCAGGTCCTCACTCAGATCTGCCTCTTCTGTGAAGGTATTTGACTGTACAGTTTGTAAAGGATGCTGTAGAATCAGATAAATTATAGAAGAGTGAACAGTCTCTCTTCTCACTGGCTTTTCTACTAACCTCACATATGTTGGACAAGAACACCATCTGCTTATCAAAAGGGAAGAAGACCAGACTTGTTAAAGTATAATTTTAAGCACTTCATTATAAACCTCAACTTACATCAGCAATGCTTTTCACCTGTATGGTCAAAGCCTCAAAAGCTGACAGCATTTTAAGAGCAGTATAGACCCATATATATGCATTATGAACTTGATTTATACTCAATAATGCTGACAATGAACATGATATAGTAATCCTCTGATACTCATTCCTAACTGTGTGTGGTTTGTTTTTGATCTTTCAGGGTGTATTGTCCTCACAACTGTATGCAGGCAAATCCACACTACGCTCGTGTCATTGGTACACGAATTTATTCTGATGTAAGTATAGGGATTTACATTGCATTATATAATGAAATATAAAATCCTATGAAAAGTTATAAGGTAAGAATAACAAGATAGAGAGTAGATACAGTTATCCTGCATATGCTTATTTTTCACACAGTCTTTTCAAAGTTCTTTTTCAGAGACTCCCATTTAAGTTAGCAATACTCAGCTGCTGAAGATATGGAAAGTTATTTGAAAACCCATTATAGACTTCAGTAGTCTCTGGACCCAAATTTTCAGTTTTTTATGAAAATTCCCACTGATTTGTTCAATATTAGCAGTGTATACTCATTTAAACCCCTGCACTTTAGATCCTGATGTACCCACAACTTCTGTCAGATGATACTAACAAAAAAATTACTCTTAAAATAAATGTCCACAGTCTCATTATTTTGGATATTTCTTATTTGTGTGGATAGCAAAATATTTGCAGCAGATTTTCAATATGTTTGTGTAAAGTATCTCACATTGTCATATTTTAAGACTTTTTTTTTGTCATTCTGTTTCCTAATCAAGTTTTTTTCCCTACAACATGTTGAGTTCTCAGGTGGATAGAAAGAATGAAAAGAGGGTTCTATTTTATGCCCCTTCTTTGTCATCTCTCTGTGGAGAAGCAAGGATGTAGTGGCAGAGAAAGCCGGTCACATTTTTGCCAGTTTTAACTGAAAATGTAGTCTCTGCAGTTATGTTTTAACTATCTTATAGCTGTCATAAGGAATAGTATGGCAACCAGCTGGGCCAGATTTTCACTACTTTCTTGTACTTTTAAATGTGTGAAAATAATATGCAAATATTTGCTCATCATTATTTTGAAACTAACTAATGTCCGTTAGATTACCTGAGTATCTTGTCCTGAAAAACTCTTGTCCTTAAGCAGTGTCACAGATGTGAGTAGTACTTCTAGTTTAAGAAGGATAATTGATTTGTGAACTGGGTCCTTAATGTGTGTAAGAGAGGCAGTGAAAACAGATTCAATGCAAGTCTATTTTGTGGAAGATGATTTTCTTTCAGTTCTGTGGTTGCAATCAAAGGCTACAGCCAAAGTTTCCCAGTGAGTTAGAAAAGACTTTGTTGTAGGAGAAAAAAGACATGCTTTTGTTTAACTTAGACAGGAGAACATCCCAGAATATATATTTTCTTTGTCTAGAGAAGCCCCAGGTGACTTTAATTAGTATTATAAAGTTATGCTTTAAAATTTATTTTAGATGTACTATTTCATTATTCATCTCCATTGTATAGAAATGTGTGCAGCCATACTGCTTTTAGGAAAAAATGGACATAAATAGAGGTAAGAAACCAGGGATGGAAGTCTTCTTATCAACTTCAAATGCTGTCAGGGTAGATATTTACACTGAAGGTGCTATTCTAGGTTATGTTTATAGTAGTTTCTAGTACATACAGTATAGTGGTAAAGGAGATAAATAGGCATCTGCAGAGCAGAATTCATTTGACTATTTCAGAATGTCTACCTTACTATGAGATGAATTGCCAAATAGAGATGTCTATTCTTCTCCATTTCCTACGGAAGGGTCCTGGGGCATCTAGCTCAAATGTAGAAGGATGTATTTGTACATCTGTTCCCATTGATGATATCAGTATTATACTTTTTTTGCTAACATTTATTTTAAAACTAAGATACTTCTTAATTGATATTTTCACTAATACAGTTGGGTATTATATGCATTACAATATATTACTGAACTAGCTTCAGGTGAAGTATTTCTAAAGAATAACCTGTTTAATAAGTGTGCCCTCTTTTACAGTTTTTCATGTATTCACGGAGAGATTTGTTCACAGATAGAGAGAATTCATTCGCCCACTTGTCATAGCAAATGTATTTGAAATTGCAGTCCATGATCTACTTGGTTGATTCCACAAAATAGATGGGGTTTTTGTGATGTTCATGCAAATTCATAAATATGTATGTGGGTGTATGCATATATGCACATGAGTATTTATTTACCTTACTGCTTAGGCCTCTTACATTGAATAAAGGAACAGGATTTTGCAAAGATAGTAAAAAAGAAAGCAAATAACATTAATGGATGTCACTAATTCAAAAAGAACCATTTACAAAATCATTTTTATAGTATTGAGAATCTAGTTAAACCTTTCCTTTTCTGGCTTTGGTCTGTTCAGACATTTATTCTTAAACTCATTTCATATTTTATGGTAACTTCTTTTCCTCTCTGTTCCTGAGAAGATTTGTTCTCTGGTTTATCAGTAGCGCCCCACAGAATTTTTACCCTTTTTTTTTCTTTTTCTTTTAGCCTTTAGCCTCTTCATCCGTAACTCCCACAGTATCAGTAGATAAAGGATGCTATAGTCGTAACAGTAAGGCATGTATTGGTGTTCAGGATATAACGAAAGTCTTGAAACCTTGGGAAGAGGAAAAGTACGAAGTAGTTTAATTGGCATCCCTCATGGCATGTTCACAGCCAGCAGTGTGGAAAAAAAACATAAAGCATCTTTGCAAAACATAATTTTCATAAACAATTTCAGATCTTTACTCTGTTAAATATTGTAACATTAAAAGACAAACTACATAACAGTGAAACCGGCAACTCCTGTGCTTGGAATGAGAGTAGGAAAATCATTGCTATTTTAAATTCCTGATTTTATATACAATTGAGAGTGCAAAATAGCTATGGTAAAGATTTAAATTACACTAGTTATAACTGGAAAAAATAAAAGTTTTATTTAAATAGCGCTTTGTTTGACCAGCTATTGATATTTATATTGGCTAAGTTTTTTAAAGTTGCTTGTGGAGAGATCTATTGCATTGAAGACTTTTTCCACAAAAAAACTTGTCTCTAAGTGGAGATTTACTGTAGCTGGACCTGCACTTTGCTGTGCTATGTATTGAAGATTGGGGCCTACCATCTGGAGTATCTAAGAAGTTTCATTCTTATAGCAATTTTTAAAATGCTGAAAGAGTATTAGAGGACTGCAAGTTTAAATCAGTTATCAGGATTGTCACTGAGGAATCCTTCTGTGAGAATTATTTATGCTTCATAGGTTCATGAGAGGAATTAGTGACCAGAGAATGTAGGTTTCAAGCAGATATAAGTGCTGATAGCTTCACAGAAAATTTTCATTGAATCATAGAATACCAGGTTGGAGGAGACCCCAAGGATCATCTGCTCCAACCTTTCCTGACAAAACATGGTTTAGACAAGGTGGCCTAGTATCTTGTCTTAAAAGTGTCCAATGCTGGGGAATCCACCACTTCCATGGGAAGATTATTCCAATGGTTGATTGTTGTCATTATGAAAAATTTTCGTTTTGTGTGCAATTGAAATCTCCACAAGAGTAGCTTGTACCCATCACTCCTCATTTTTTCCATATGACTTAGGTAAAAAAGGAGCCACCCTTTAAATAATAAAACATGATGATGAGGTCTCCCCTAAGCCTTCTTATCTCAAGGCTGAACAAACCCAGTTCTCACAGCCTTTCCTTATATGACAGGCTCCCCAGTCCTTTAGTTGTCTTTGTGGCTCTTCTCTGGACCCTTTCCAACCTTTCCACATCTCTTTTATCACAGGAACAACAACTGATGTGGCCTGACAAGCACTGAGTAGAGTGGGATAATGATTTCTTTATCTCTGCTGGTGGTGCCCTTGCTGATGCAACCCAGCATCCTGTTGGGTTTGTCTTGTTTCTCTTTGCTGCAGTGGCACACTGTTTACTCATACTGAACTTGTGGCTCACCAGGACCCCCAGGTCCTTTTCCTCAGAGCTGCTCCCCAGCTGGGTTGATCCCTGCATGTGCTGCACTCCTGGATTATGTATATGCACTCCAGGTGCAAGACCTTGTCCTTGTTGAACTTCGTAAGGTTCTCGTTAGTCTACTCTTCAAGCCTGTCCAAGTCTTCCTGCAGGGTTGCTCTCTTCTCTGAAGTGTCAGCTTTCCCATTTAGTTTGGTATCATCCAGGTAGACTTGATCCTATCATTGAGTTCACTTATGAAGATATTAAACAATGTTTGGGCCAATATTGATCCTCAGGGGCCCCACTTGTGACAGGTTAGCAGACTGAAAAGAAGCTATTTGCCACCACTCTGGGTGCCACCTGTCAGCCAGTTCCCCACCACTGCACAGACCCATTGCTAGACCATATCACTGTTTCTCCATGAGGAGTGTGGGAAACCATATCAAAAGTCTTGGAGGAATCAGCTAGACAATTACCCCTCTGTTGTTGAATTGAAGGCTGATAGGTTCTTTCATTTTGAAAGACTCAAGAATTCAAACATGTTCCTGATCTTTGAACTGAAATAGCTTGAAAGAAATGATTTTGGCATCATGCTGAAGAGGATATTTGAAGAGACAGTGTCTATATTCCTATAAATTGGCCTAATTCCTATGAAACTGATTTAAATACTGTAAGATTAATAAAATTAGTCATGCAATAATTATTTTATGTTTCCTAAACTTGGTTTAAATGTTGTTATTTGTTTTCTTCTAAACAATTACGAAATAAAAGGATGAAAACTAACCTTTCCCGCATTCTTTCATAGATATCCAGTATCTGCAGAGCAGCACTACATGCTGGTGTAGTCCGTAACCAGGGCGGTTATGTTGATGTTATGCCAGTAGACAAAAGAAAGATGTACGTTGCTTCCTTTCAAAATGGAATATATTCAGAAAGGTACAGAGCCCGTTTTCAAAGATTACACTTCACCCTTTGCCTCCGTGAAATTTACAAAGTCTTGCATTGTGTCTGTTTGCAGCTGGAGCAGTGCTAGAAAACAAACAAGTAGGCCAAAATTGGTGATTTACAGAGCTTGTGTAACAACTGTGGTGACTTTGGAGAAGCTGTGGTGGCAGAGCTGCCTGCCTCCTCTAAGCTCATAAAACATTACTCTGAAAAGCTGCGTATGAAATAAAACCTCTTGTTTGCTTTGCTGGTTCTGTTGCAACTAACACAATATTTGATAAGAAAATTGCCTTTACTTTCTTAGGGAGGTTTTAAAAATTAACATTGGTGATGCAGGTTCACTGGTTCCTGAGGAACTGTTCATTAGTGATTTACGTGGTATTGAACCAGTACTGGATCCTGAATCATAAATAATATTTACAAACATTAAAATTCATGATCATTGAAACATAGTTTTAATTTCTTTTTTTTTAATAGTTTGTTGTTAACAGTGTTTGTCTGAAAGACCTGGAGAAGCTATGAAAGTTCATTTGGTTGTATTCAGTGTATTTGTACATTGTATGATGATAACACATGGCTACATGTGCAATACTCTCTGAGAGAGTTTTCCAGGTTCTGAAGGAAGAAAGAGAAATTACCTTCAAAAAAAATTGTACCACTCTTTTCATCCTGTAAAGCCACTCTATTAGTCCTGTAAAGCTAAGAATGATTGTTTCCTAGACAGACTATAGTCGTTCCAAAAAATTTTTGCAGGGAAAAGATCTCCAGAAGTTTCTGTAGAGAACTCAGAAATAGGGAGATATAGGGTATTTTTTTCTTATTTTTAATTGAGGATAGGGGAGTGTCTTTTCTCTTTCCCTCAAACTTTTCAACAAATCTGGAAGTTTGTAAAATACAGATTTCCTTTGCTTAGTAGATGACTTATTTTGCTCATTTTTTGACTTTCTCCGTGACCATCTACTTCCCTTAGAAAGGGTGCTTCCTTACTGACACTTTTGTTCTCCATATAAATCTTCTCATTCAGTAGAAATGCAGCCAGGAAGAGTTTTGCAAAATTAATCATTATTTATACTTTATATATAATATACACATTATATACTATGTATAAATGTAAATTTTAAAAGTATGTATAGATATACATATATTTATGCATAAACCATCTTGGTAAAGTCTGGAAGAATAGCAGTTTGGAAAACAGTCCCATGCAAGTTTTCTGTGAAGCAGAAGATGATGGATTGTAATGCTGTTGCAACCAGCCTGCTTCCTTGCTTTCACCTCCATTTCCCTTTCCTTCCCAAACATGCCTCAGACAGGGTTTGCTAAAGAGAAGACAGTGGGACCATTAAATATGACGTACTAGTTCAGTTTATAAGACAAAAATATTTATTCTAACAAAATTTCATTGCATTTGAATATTTTTTATTTAATTTCTTTCGAAGCCAGATATTTATCCATTCGGAAAGCATTCTCATTGGATTTGTTAGACATCAGTTCTTTATAGAAATCTATTCTTCATCGTATAAGCTACTAACAAATAAGGGAACTCCTGGATCTGCAAGTTCTCTCCAAATGTAGTTGTTAGAATAGTGAGCATAATATGCATGCTTTCTCTTTCTTCCGAAAAATTTTTAGTATTTTGCTTCAGTAGAGCTTTATTCCTTAAACCAGAATCCCTCATCACAAAGGATTACTTGATTTTTTTAATGTTATTTTTTGAAATTTATGTAGTTTTTATTTGTAGCAGTTTTAAAAAATCTTGGATAGTTAAAGTTAGGAGTTGTTACGAGAACTGCTGCAGGATCTTAGAATTAACAATTAACAATTCAAAAACGTTGTCATTGGAGTGTTGCAGTCTTAAAAATAACATAATTGATGTATTTATGTTTCAGTTTACAGAATCCTCCAGGAAGCAAGGCATTCAGAGTATTTGCTGTTGTTTGAATCTAGCAAGTAAAATGTAAAACAGGCAAGTGAAACCAGAGCACTTGGAAAAGAGTAATACAGGCCATTTCTTATAATTCCTAAAATTTGTATAAAGCTGTAACATTATTGTACAGAAGATGTATACTGCTTTCCACCAAAAAGTTTAAATTACATATATATCTTAATGAAAAAAAATCTGTAAAAATAAACATGGGAGAAAAATGCATATGAAAATCTATAATGATATATAACACTACTTTGAATCCTGTGTTAAATATTGCTATATTTTCTTAGCAGTTACTCTTTTACAGTTAATTCAAAACTCCTAAATGTTCTTTGTTTTCCTCATCTGAATATATTATTGTATGGTGCTTTATATATGCCACTAACAGTAACCTTTAAACTATATCATAGGGAGGCCTGAGTTTTTATTTTCAGTGTACAGAAAAGAAGCCATCCCAATATTCTGATAAAATAAATCATGCCTTAAAGTAAAATAAAAACATATATAACTTTTTGATGATTTACAGTAGCATTAGCCATGCAAGCATAAATGAAGAGCTAGATTGTTCTCAATTTCACACTAATCATAACAAGTCCAAATACCTATTTTGAAATAAAATGGAAGATATAAAATATGGGAAGCTCTGGGTCATATTAGCATGTTTTCCTCTAAAAAAAATATTTCTAAGACACATTCATCTCTATTATTTCTTAAATAGGTTGATAAAATATTTATTGGATGCTGCTAAGCTCTTTAATTCAAATAAGCAATTCATTATGGCCCAGTCTTTCACAAATATTCCACTGTCTTGGGATGGTTGAGTGAGAGACAGACACATATGATATTGAAGGATCTGATAAAATTTTTATATTGAGAAGTGTAGTAACCTGAAATTAAGGAATAAGCCTGCAGTTCTGCAATGCAGTTCTGCACATCCACATATATATTTTTGCCATGTCACTCCTTCAATTTACCTAAATTGTGTTTCAGAAAAAATGTAGACTTGTACACATACATAAAAATTTGCAAGCTTGTGGCCTTGAGTTTTACATGTTGTCAATATACATCGATATGAGGGTAAATGTTCAAAAAAACCAAAGAAAATAATAACAAAGGCTAACCTTGCTCCCCATGACCTGGCAAATATTCCTGCAGGCCAGGAAGTATAGTGGTAGGAAGCCCAATGACAATTATGTCATTCGTTGCTTCACCATTTAAAAAAATTCATTTATGGTGAACAGCTTGGTGGATTAATTTTACCATATTATGGTATATAAAGAACATGTAGTGGTGTTACTATGTTTCTTTCTATGAAAAGTGTATTGGTGCTTTAAGACTGAAAAGCTGTTAAACTTTATTTTTGGTGTATTTTCTTTCTGATTTTGAATTTCACTGCAACTTGTAAACTTATTCATACTCTTCATATTTCAGAATACGATATTCTGCCTTCTCTTTTGCTACATGTACTACCTCATGTAGTTAGACAAGCTTTGTTAGTTTTTTTTAATCTGTTTTGAATAAAAATAATATACATAGTAAGACTAACTTTGACAGCTTTTATTTTTTAATTGTTTGTCCTGAATTAAGAGAAAAAACAGCCACCCAAAATGTACTTCTTTTTCTTTTTTTTTTTTCCGTGACCTAAACATTGCAAGTGTAGGACCAAGCAGCAGACATAATCTGAGGTTCTAAAAGCTATAAAGGCAGTTTAGACACAAAACTTCCACTAATTGCATCAGAAGTTTTATGGATAAATCTTCTGCTCATTTTTTCAAGTTTTGACAAGGGTCAAATTGATGAGGGAGACAAAGAGTCTTTTATGCATAACCCCTTTTTTTTTTTGTGCAAGTGGTGGCCATTGAAAGAAACTTTTATATAAATTTTGCAATACTGGCATTAACCATTTTTCAGGATTGAAACCAAAGTGCAAGTAGACTTTGACTGTGATGGATCTCCAAGTCAGTCAAGTGCCTGAGACAGACCTGCACCATCTTTTCTTAAAAGCACCAAAGCAGTAACACAAAGTCTTGCAGTACCTGTAGTTGGGGTTATCAGAACATAAAATGCAGTAAGGCCATCTCTGAAGTTGAGGATACACAGAACTAGAGGGAGACATTAAAAACAAAATGTTGTGACTGCAAATAGTGTCCCTTTCCAAACAGGTGGTACGTTTCCTTGCAACCTGGCCTTGCCATTCAGCAGCTCTCCGTGTTCCCTGTCTGGCCTGTGATTCCCAGCAGTTGCCTCAGAACCCCAAGGGCAGCCTGTGGGGTGCTGCAGAGCCTGGGCAGTGAGGTAGCTCCCTGCCCTGTGGAATAGGCAGCAAGGTCATCCCTTCCTGTGGGCAGTGCAGAGCGTGCGGTAAGGAAAAGAACAAGACAGTCACACCTTTAGCCATAACCACAACTTCCTCACTTTGGGTAGATGGGTGAATGGAGTCCTATGTGGAAACAATATTGCCACTCCAAATTTCTGCCTTTTTCCTCCGTTTGTTCCTTGTCCCTTTTTTTGTTCTTCTGCGTATCTTTGTTTCCTTTTCTCTCTTATCTGTAAAGGCCAACCTACATTTGCTGGAAGTTCCTGTGCAAGGGGGCAGGGGTGGACCCTTGGGGCCATAACAGTAAAGTCAGAGCTTGGTGGGAGGAGAAGGGGGGCTATTTCTAGCATATGTGAATGGTTACACTGTGAGTGGATCTACTAACCAATACAGTGACAAGAAGAAAGGGAGGTGAGTAACTCTTTCTCTTCACATCTTCTGTGACACAATTTTTTGGAGTTCTGTTGCTTTTCCACATGCAATGACTATCCTAATGCAAATATTCCAACTTCTGTTGGCTTTTTGAGAAATTTTCTTCTGTATTTACTGTAAGTAATAAGTCAATGAGTAGATATTTCCAGACAGTTGTAGAGTGGGAGCTGCACACTGGTATTTCTTTCTGCACCAGAAGCAACTGTATGCCGGATGGTTACAGCTAATTCATAGAAAGCCCAAAGGAGTAACTTGCAGTATCAGAAAACTTCTTTAGCCTAATGAGAAAACCATAGAAGAAGATCAACTTTTAAATTCTGCAGAATTGTTTGGTTAATTGAACAGTTACAAAATTGTGTTCTCAACTTGAAATAAAAGAAAGGGATAATCAATACAAGAGTAAAGCTTAATTAATGCTATTCATAATATTTAGCTTGCCTCCCAGGAAAGACCTAGAAGTAGCTGACAAGAATTATTACAACTGATACATAATAAAAAGCTGTTTTATTACATTGCTATTTGCCGGTTATAATTTTGAAAGGGCTAAGATACCAAGGAGTTGCTTGTAATTATTTGGAGAGGAGTCAAACGTTTGTCAAGCATAGATCACTTGCCTGGTGAGCTTTTCAGTAAGGACCAATTGAGGCATTCCCCTGCTATGCTGCATCCCTTCCAGCTGAAGTAGCTAATTTCAAAATTACAGTGTTAGTGTGGAAGAAAGTGGTCAAACTCAGATAATCCTTTAACAGTTGTTCACCATTTTGATAGCAGTGTGAGGATACTTTAGTTTTAGGGAACTTGGGACCCAACTTCATGTCAACAGACAGTTCATAGTACTAGCTGGACATAAACAAAGGAAACTAGGAAACATTTCCTAGACTTTGTGGATGTTGAGGAATTTTAAAGAGTTCACAGACGTCCTTGTGTCTGATTTCTCCATAGGGGACAGTCTGATCTAGAAATTATACATAAAGTACTTTTGCAACCAAGCCTGAAACACAGATTGGGATAACCTGTTTGTAAGTTTACGGGTTTTTAACTGAAGAAATAGTCAGTTTCAAGTTTTATGTAAATGTCAGTCAGTGGATTATCAGTGAATTTGAAAGAGGGAAAGTAACATCAGCTTTTTTTTTATGTATTGATACGTATGTTCAGGAAAATGCATGGCCCTTTATGGCAGAGGTGTAACCAAGTTACTCACATAAACAGTATCTTCTGTGTGGCAATTACTTTTGAAGTATGTTTTGAATTTGGCTAAAAAGTCAGATAACCCAGCTTCCTGTGAATACACAAGGGAAGGTTTATTTCCTGCAATTTCTGTAGTCATACAAAGGGTAAGATTTAGAAACATAAATATTTGGAAGTTACAAAGGTTATTCATACAGTGCAATATTCTGTTTGGAAACGTATATAAATACTGTATGAAATACTGTACTGTCAGACTTCTATGACTTAAGGCTTTTTATAGCATCTGTGGAACTCTAGGGAATTATACAAGGAATGAAAAGCCTGAAGATTCTTGTTTCATTCGTTGTATAACATGCATCTTACAGAGCTTTAGGTATACAAATGACAGCACACTTTAGTATTTAAAAAATTGCATATGATTTTATAAAAATATATATTTTGCATATGGTAAAAGAAGCCATCCTATCAGCCCTAGGCTTAGTCTGTCTTGCTGTCAGGAATAAATGATGGAAATAGTATTTTATATATGGTCATTATTTATATTTTTATTGTTAATAAAGGAGAAGTCATTGTTGTGACTAATAAAATGTGATTCCTGCTCCATGTTAACATAGGGTGATAATGTAACACCTGAAGTTTGCCATCAGCTGTTCAGTGATCTGTGATAAATTTCTTGTTCATCTTAGCCTGTTTGCTAGGAGACAGATACCTACATCATAAGACCATCATAGTGTTTTGGAAAAAATATTAATAATAAGTGTTAAATATTCAGAAGCCAGCAAAGCCCCCCGGTCAGACCAACTTGATATAATAAGGCACAGGAAAATATGAGAGACTGAAGGAGTAAAGTACAGAACCTGCAACTGAAACATCCAGTCATGATGCTCCATAGCTTACTACCCGCATTGATTCCTGCAATAATAACCCTAGTTATTCAATTCAGTATCTACCCCCAGTGTTGTATCCAATACTGGTTTTGTCTTTACTGACAATGTCCAAAGGCTAGCAGCAAAGCTGTTCGTTAAGAACTGAGATACTCTGGCCAAACAACACTATGTCTTTTAATAGGCACAGAAAAGACTTCAGTTGCCAATAGCAGTAACTCGTGGGCTTTTAAATTTCCAAATTTCATTTAAAGCATAAGCATTATAACAATATTAGGAATAATCTCCTTGAACTTTATTTAATATAACGTCTGCTTAATATGTTTAAAAAACTTTATTTGATGTGTTTTCGGTTATTTCTGAATTAATGATTTTATATGACAATATCCTTATTTGGAATATCATCTTAGAATACATATGAGAACTTGCATTAGTTTTGCTAATTTTGCAAGCTCAGAGACTCACAGGACGTCGTAGTAATGCTGATTATTTTTAGGATGCTCAAGAGACAGAAATTGCTAGGAGGTAGTAAATCTTCCAAACTTAACCTACACAGTTTGAAAAACAAGTACTTCAGTTGCTTAATTATTCACTTAGGCTTGTTTATATGCAATGTAAATATGAAGCTGGCTCTGACTTCTTATAAATTGCTGCTACTGTACGCCCCAAAGATAAATTGGAAAGAGTTGCTAAATAAATCTCCCTGTAGTCAATACAATCTTCATTCCATATTTATCTATTGAAATCCATCTGTTTCTTGGTGGTGGATGGGGTTTTTTTCCTACTGAAAGATCATGTCTTCTGAATAAGTATTTCTTTTATTGTGTCAGAACAACTCCAAGACCTTTGGGGCTGCAGGCTGCACTAAGCACAGAAACAGAGCAATCATTTTATGCAAAAGGACTTAGTCTCAGATTTTGGATTTAGCTCAGTTCAGTACACAAAGAAGTGTGTTGTATGAGTTGATTTAGTGCTTACTATACTGGAGGTGATAGTCTACTCCAGCACAGCTATAAAACTGAGCCAGGCAATAGTTCTGTGAAATGCTCAGAGCTCCTCTCTTTTAACCAGTAAAAATTATGAGGTAAATTAGATCAGTTTACATTTTTAAATAAAAGGAATAGCTAGACAGATGTATTTGGTGGCTTATTGATACAAATGTGCTCTTCTGCCACTGATTGAGGGTTTTTGCATGTTTTGCATGTTATGTTCAATGATGTGCAGATTATGCAGAAGCAGTGATTTTTTTTTTGGTTGGCACTGATGTTAAAAGGATTGATACTTGGATGCTTCTGCCCCAGCATCTTTTAAAGCAGTTTTCTGTAAATTACAAGGCAATTGTTTTGTAATATGTAAAGATCTGTCCTAGAAATAAGGAAGTCACACCTTGACTGGGATGTGTGGTTGCATCTACTGAACAGTAAAAATACTGTTCTTTGATTTAGGACTTCTTTTCTACTAATGCTTCAATTCAATTTGTAGTTTTCATTATAATTCCTGGAGAATTACAGTCCAATCAAAACACCTAAAGGTACTTGAGGAAAACAACCATCTCTACCATGATCTCTCAGAAGACATTCAGCTCTTATTTATCTCACATCAATACAGCACCTAAACAATAACTCAGTACCACTCCTAAAGTAATTGCAGTCTATGACTACCCATAAGGCTGAGATACCAGCCCAGCTTCTTATTTAACATTAGTCA